ACCTACCCCTCTACAGTGAAGAGGTGCAAATTATATGTAGCTGAGATGACAATCTGTACACAGCGTATTTGACACGATAATCCCCAAATGAAATCTTGGGATTGTGTCCTCAATAAATCATTGGATTTTGCAAATGTACAGGATACACCCACGACCCGAGAGTAAAGTGCAATAGTCTGAAGTCTGGCCTGGAGACGTTACATTTTCAGCCGTGCATAACGGTGCAACACCTCTGTCAGCTTTAAATGCATGTCAGTCTGATTTAGGATTTTAATATGACAAAGTGAAAACATGGACCCCTCTTGTCTCCACATCTTTACTGAGCACCTGTTCAGGAGTCTTTCTGGCTGTCAAAGATGAAGTTAGGGTTTTTTGATAATGTGTTCGGTGGGATTTCACATGAACCGAGTAAAAAAACAAACAAAAAAACCTATCAATAAAACATCAGCATCTGTGAAGTTCATCTCTGACACAGCTGCAGTCAAAGTTGCAAATAGGGCAGTTGTTTGCTGTCGTGCTGCTCCACCTCCGTGTCTTCCTTCCTTCATCTCCTTGTCCAGCTTCTCCTGAATCCCTGTGATCCCACTCAGCCTCAGTTTTCTGCTGGGATCTGATCCACTGCTTCTTATCGTGCAAACTAATTCAGTAAAAATCGTTTCACGTCTCCTCTAGCAGAGCAATTGAGAACCTTTACCTTCTCCTTGAGGGATCTTCATGTCCTTTGTGTTAGCCATGGATCCTCTGTTAGGTTTTGCAGACTTACGTGAACATGTTCATCCAAGGAACAGAGATGAGGAATAAACCTTTGTCATGAAATGTTCTGATGAACCTTCTCGGTGAGGTGGACAAGCCAGTGTTTTTCCTCTTTAGGTCCTACATGTGTGTAATCAGCTTGGAGTTCAGTCTTGTTTATCTCTTTTAACTAAATCTGCTGATACCGTGTTTCTGACCCCAGTGTGAAGGTCTTCCCACACTGAGGGCAGCTGTGGATTTTCCCTTTTCATCCCAGAAGCTTTTAATACACTTCATGCAGTTGTTTTGTCAGCAGGGAAAAGTCACCAGATCCTTCAGTAGATTCAGACAGATCAAACTGCAAAAGCATTTCTGGGTCCAAATACATTTCTCACTCTGTTTTCTCTTCGTAAAAGTGACATCAGATTGCTTCTCTCAACCACAAAAAAAGGAACACTTTCTTTCTTGTATTTATTTGGCATTTAGCTGCAGATACACTCTCGGTCGTGACTGGGAGCAGGAAGACGTCTGAACAGAGTGGAAGTTGTTGTACCTGAGAGACCAGAAAGACGAGGCAGCGGCGCTTCGTTAGAGCGATCCGAAAGAGCAGTTTGTGCTCTGCGTCTGTATAAATCATGAGCGCAGCACCTGAAGCTACCCAGATGCATTCAGTTAGGGACATTTAACTTAACACTGGTAGAGAAAATGAAAGATTTCACTCATATCTGATCATTTCTTTGAAGAAATCAAGCCATAAGCACATAAAAACTTCTGAATAACCCACACATTTACTATTACTGACATCCTCTATAAACATGTGCTTGTAATAAGTTTGCTGCTTTTATTTAAATGTCAGATAGTCATTTAAAGCGCTGCTGTTTTCATGCTTAAGATGTATAGTCATTTTGAGATAACGCTTGCTGTCAAAACATCAGAAACCGCATGTTGTTGTGATTTATTAGAAACTGAAGTGACAGTCTGACCTACATTTAATGATAGAAAATAATAAAGTAATGCACTCAACACATTCAGCAATTATGTGGTGCACAGTTAAATGAAATGACGTTTCTCATATCCATTCACAGAGCAGAAATAAAAGTGTTAGTATTATAAAAAACTAAGGTATAACACAAACTTAAGCATACATCAGACACAACTATACTCACTACTGGGGTGATGATGGGTGACATTAATGTGACTGCAGTTTTGAGTTTGGAGGTGTGTGTGCAGGTCTAGAGCTCTCTACCTACCGTGTTCCTAATGTACCTTCATTAGATTTGGCTTGTACTCGCTGCTGACTTGGAGTTTCTTAGATACTTTGCATCGTATGTTTTTATCTCGTATGTGTTTGCTTCAAACTGTGCATTCATCTCTGCGATGCTTTTGCACTGTAATCACTGACAACTTCCGTAAAGTTTCTGTTTCTGCTGGTTTTGTCTGTGCTGTGGCAGCTCACACTGAAACGAGCCTTATTTGTGTGTCTAGTCGCAGCGTTAGTGGGACTCAGAACCCCCTCTGCGTTCGCTGTTCGGTTGCTTCCAGCTGGAGAACTCCATAGTAGCAGCATAGATCCGCTCAGCAGCAGGACTGTGGCTGTCACGATGGCGAATAGTGGCGTTAAACACAGCGTGATGGATGCATAGTTAACTCAGCTCACACCACGACAACTTTCATGACGTTGTTGATTAGTAAGAGTGTCAGAATTCCCCCTTTTAGACAGGATTAGTTCACCCACAAGTGATTAATAGGGGTGTTATCTTGGTGTCATTTTAATTTTTGTTCTGCTTGATTATCAGGTGCGAGTTAGAAAGTTATTATTTTATCATATTTAGGATTGTATTTAGGATCAGTCATGTGTGTTCTTCTTCAGGTGTCTGAATCCTCTCTGAACAATGTTTGTGCACATGTTGCGTATGTTGTATTTTCCCATCTGAGGTGAATCTTCTGCAGATAAACGGTGTGTTTCTGGTGGTTGTAGATCATTTTTCCACCTGTAAGAGCAGCAGCTTTTATATGCAGGGAAATATTGCTGAATTTTTCATAGTTTTCACGTCATGCATTGTGAGATTGAAGGTGAGATTAACCAACCTCAGCTCACATCATGACATCTTTAATCATGTTGTTACTCGGTAAGAGCTTCAGAATTTCCCTGTTTAAGCACAATTGGTTCACCCACAAGTGGTAATTATTAGTGTCAGCTTGGTATCTCTCATTCATTTTTATTTGTGACTCGGTTCTACGTAGAAACTTGTGGTTTTGTCAGACACGTATGGAGGATTTTCCCTTCAGTTGTTGCTTTAAGTCTGATCCTTTCTGAATGTTGGGTGTTATTCAGTGGAACTCAGTGGCTCGAGTTGTGGTCACACCTTTTCATGAAATGATGTAAAAACCTGAAATTATCTTTGCTTTTGCTGCCCTCACACTTTCCAGCGCAGCATAACTTCAATCAGGGAGCTCAACAGTTTGCACGGCGGCCACTTGGGACACAATATCCTCTTGTTTGTTGAGCGTCTCTCTAGTTGCGTCACCAGGGCTAAAAATACAAGCCCTCCACTACCACCCTCCTCCCCGCCTGCCTCCTGCCTGCCCGGCTCACTTTGTGTTTCTCTACTTCAGCGTCTGATCCGCAGGGGGGAGGGAGGGAGGGAGGGAGGGAGGAACTCTAATCCAGGGTGTTTTACTGACTTCAGCGGGCAGGAGTGATGTCATTGTGATGTCAATGCCTGTAATTGTAATCGGGCTGCAAAGTTGACGAGTGACCACTCTGATACGGAGAGAGAACCGAGAAGGAAGAAAGGGGAGATTGGACTGAAGCAGGGAAGAGAATAAGGGCAAGAGGAGTGTTTTTGTTTTTTTGTGTGCTGAGGTTGTTTCACTGCCGTGGTGCTGGATTATTGGAAAGCAGAGATGGCTGTAACTGGGGATGAGACAGAGTCAGGTACAGTTGTCTCACATGTTGTTTTTTTGTGCAGAAGTCTGAATGTTTTCTTTTAGAGGAGTGTTTGTGCCTGTGTTGCTGGCTTTTATGAGGATTTAAAGTACATCTGGAAATACAGAAAGCAGCAGGTTCCTGGGATTTGTAGATTACAAGCAGAAGCTTTAATTACTTTTACACCACTTTTACTTCATGCATTGTGAAATTTGAACATGAAACGTGACATTTTAAAAAGCTACGTGACAGTTCAGGGGAACACAAACAGATCTAACAAGCGTTTGGCTAATGTGCCGAGCGCTGTTCCTGTCAGTCCGGATCCCGCTGTTAGACCCGCGTACATTCACTCTGTGTGCTCTCTGAACCGCCACAGTGGTTGTCAGGCAGGCAGGCAGGCAGGCAGGGAGGCAGGGAGGGAGGGGAGGAGGGTAAGGAGTAAAGGGGGAGGGTGTGGGGTAAGATAGTTGTCGGTTTGACGTCACTCCAGTTTCCTGGAACAGAAGCCAGGCAGGGAAGAGAGAATGCAAAACGGGCAAGTGAGACGCACACACTGACGTCAGCAGCAGCCCGAGTCACTGTGTTATCACAATGAGAGAAGCTCTGTGTGTCAGTGTGTGTGTGTGTGTGTAGGTGTGTGTGTGTGTGTGTGCGTGCGTGCACCTGCTGTGTCTCTTTCTGAATGAGTGTGCGTCTGTGTGGCCGGCAGAGGGAGGGGAGAGAACGACAGAAACTTCTCAGGAACAAAGTGAAAAAGGAGAAGCTGAAATGGTATGAGACAGCAGGCAGAGAGCGGTTAGCAGTTGAGTCATCTAAGTGATGAGTCAGCTCAAACAGCACACAACAAAACCACATCCACACAACTGCTTTTCTTTTTCTTTTTTAAAGGCTTTTTTTTTTTTTTTCCCCCAGAATCGGCATCACTTCTCTTGAAAAACGCAGTAATCCTCCAGTTATCAGTCGATGGTTTAAAGTGTGATAAACATGACGTCAGCTCTCATGTGTAGCTGCGCCTCGAGAACTATGTCGAGTCTCGGTAGGAAAAACGCTATTTTATCCACGTAAATGAGCAAAACCTCCTCATGAATTATGCATATATATGAATGAATTAACACAGCATAATAATAAAGCAATGTTATGTTTAGGGTCTGTCAAAATCCATAAAAATCTAAAGGCAAGCAGCTCATCTCATACCAGCCATAAAATTGTATATGCAGACCACACAGTATTGATAGAACTGAATAAAACACAGCTGTGAAGCTCCTCTGAGTGACAAGATCTATATTTCCAGTTCCTATGGTTACACCACCAATCCTAAAGCATGAATCCCTAATTTATGAGCTCAAATTAAGCAAATCTAGAACCTGAATCATTTGTGTGTGCATTCAAGTTGAAAAAAAAAAATCTTTCTGCCACCTGTTGGGCTGCTGAGGGATCATCACATGTGGGAGAGTTGCGATGAGAAGTAGAATCAGCCGGCTCAGGGTGTTTTAATTCACTTGTACATGAAATAATCAACAGTCTTTCAGCTCGTTCTGTAACTTTGCATTAAGGCAGCCGCACATTGGAGGGAATAAGATGGAATGAACCATTTCCAATTCTTATTTTCCAACATGTCCGGTCATATAAGGACAAATACCTGCTCACAGGAACAGCCATGGTCAGAGGAAATTCATCTCATAAGGCAGGAAGGAGAGCGGATAAGTGTTCTTGGCTGTGGTTTGCCTTCTAATATCCTCTGGCGAAATACATACTGCGTATGTTCAGGAGGAAAATCAGAACAAACAGACAGCGTGATTGAATCAGAAAATTAATTTAAAAAACTTGTTTTTGTACTTTTGTAAACCAAAAAAGTCTGAACTCTTCTGTCCATCTCTGGCCCTCAGCTGCCACAGGAGACATCCCCGCCTACCAGCTGCGTTCGCCCAACTCGGGTCTGGCTCAGAGCATCGTGATGGCGGCGTCTCCGGGCGGCATGCAGAGTCCATCGTCGCAGCATGCCGAAGAAATCACCCGCAAGAGGGAGGTCAGGCTGATGAAGAACAGGTAGGAGCTGGCGCCTGCAGCAGAAGATGGTAACTGAGCTGTGGGAGGTTTTCTGACCCGACAAGTTACTCAACTAAAGTAAACAAATCCAGTTCATTCTTTCAGGGATCTTGAAGAAAGGGAGGAGCTGCTTCTAGAAAGAAAACAAGCTTATGTTTATGATGTAATGAATGAAGAATGCAAATGTCATTACTGGACCCTAAAACTTTTTTCTTTCTTATTTTCGTTTTCCAAATTCTGAATAGCATCTTGCACTTTAAATGTATTGATTTAGGTTTACAACCATGTTCCAGATGATTTTCTAATTCATGCACTGAAATGAAAAGACTCATCACTGAATTGGAAACTTCTGCAGAAGTCTGACAATCTGGTGGTTGTTCACACTAATAGTACAAAGGTGGAAGCTGCAGAACGCCGCTTTTATAGATGTCCATGTTTTTCTTTGCCTCTCGATTCATCATGTTCGCTGCTGAAACGCTGCAGCAGGTGAATCGGTGGTGGTCTGGAAACACATGGAGATACATTTGGAAGTGAACAATGCTCACGCTGTTGGATTGTGCACAGCTTGCATTTTGTCTGCGACATTCTCATCAAGAGACTCAAAACATATTTTCCTCCTCTTTTCCTCTCCAGGGAAGCAGCTCGCGAGTGCCGCAGGAAAAAGAAAGAGTACGTCAAGTGTCTGGAAAACCGCGTGGCCGTGTTGGAAAACCAAAACAAGACCCTGATTGAAGAGCTGAAAGCACTGAAGGACATTTACTGCCACAAAGCTGAGTAGCGGCGGTTTTGCTTGTGGTCACGGCTGAAGACAGTTTACAAACTGCTACAGCGAAAAAGAAAAAAAAAAGCAACAAAAAAAAAAAAGAAGAAGAAGAAAAGACTCTGGAACAAAAACTGCTTTGACCGTCTTTGTTTCTCCGCTCACTCAGACCTGATTTACGCCAAAATTCAGAAGTGTTGTGGAGATTTCAAACAGCTTGCCAGTTTCTGCTCTCGTTCTTATCTTGTGCTCTTTGCATGACTCAAGTGTTAAACACACTGCGCTTGCTGTTGCTGTTGTGCACGAGGCGAGGCCAGCCTATGAGAGCCAGCTGAAGAAGTAGAAAAAGAAGAAGAAGAAGAAGAAGAAGAAGCACAGGAAGTGCAAACACAGGTGCTTCCTGAAAATGTGCCGCCGCTTGACTACAGCGAGAATAAAACAACCTCGAGGGGTCTGGCCAGGTCTTGCTGCCAGCAAGTTTTCCAGATGAGGTCAGGTGAGGTGCACATGAAGCTCCGCAGATCCACCAGCAGCTGCAACAAGCAACTCCAACCATGTTTACCTGATCTGCATTTGTGTAATTTATGCTTCTGTTTTTTTGGTCGTTGCATTCCTTCACGTGGAAACTACCGAGGAGAAGTATCGTCAAGCGTTCAGTCCGTAAAGTGATTTCCTGGATTTCCCTCATTTTCAGTTTGTTTTAAGGTTGCAAACAAGCGAAATAGAAGAATTCAACATTCAAATCCTCGTTACGTTTGGTTGCTTCTGCACAGATTGTTGAAATGATTTGAATCAGGTTCGCAAAAGTCCAAAAGAATCTTTATTTTTTCATTACTAAGGTGAACTAATTGTGAAACGAAAGAACAGAGCCGGTCTATAGTCAAAGCACAGAATATATTGAAGTATCAGATTTTATTTTCTATTAACAAATATACAAACAATTTCACTCGAAAAACTTAATATATATTCTACAAAATAAATGTTACCTACTGAGTAGTCGCGTTAAAAGTTGATTTGCTTGTTCTATCTTGAAAAATATTAAATTTGTAGATTAATATTTTACAATGATGCACAGCTCCAAGAACAACGGTTTCCTGGCAAGCATCACTTTTGTTTTTAGAAATGATGGATATCCATTTTCAAATTAAACTGTATTTGATTATGGCTTGATATTAAAAATGCTCTGTTTAAAGGGTGATGCCAATTTCTCTATTTGTTTTTTTTTTTTGTAAAGATGTTTTATTTTAAATATATATAATATATCATCTTGTGTTCATGTTTCTGGTGATATTGGAAACTGCTCGCTTTCTCTGTTTCTGTTGATGTAGTTGTTGAGTTTTGTTCCGGTGATTCTATTTTATTAATATATTTCATTTTCTGTTCAGCACGTAGAAAAAGAGCAACAGACCCGAGCGTATGTTGCACTTCGGCTGCCAAAGCTATTTAAGTAACAGTTTGGTATTTGTCTGCCGTTTAGCTCAATGACAACAGTGTGAGTCATCCTGTGGCAGTCTCGATATTTACCAGCCAAATACCTGTCATGGTTTGTATTCTCAGAGGAGCACCCATTCTGTTCGAGTCCATTGAAACGCAAGTGATGCTAAAATTCAGGTTTTCTTTGATATCAAGTGAGGTGAACATTATTCTGCACTTAGTTTTCGCTGTTTTAAATGGCTCCAAATTTTACCAGGTGTTTTCTTAATGTACTTCCTTGTTTGAATTGTAAAACTATTTTTTGTTTATCTAATAAAATTATTAAATTTGAGTGTGATTTATTGCTTTTCCTGCGCTCGCAAAACTTTGGACACTTCAACTCCGCAGACTGTTTATATGTTTGTGCAGTTAAAGTTGCACAAAATGAATTTATTCCCTTTTTTTTGTTGCAAAATGCCAATTTAGTGCTGCAACATAAACTCGAGTGCGGGACGTTTACGTATCAATGAACGTCGATTTGCTTTGGAAGTGGTTTTCCAGAGCTGACGGGCATAGACTAGGCTGCAGCAGCAAGGAATAAAAGTCAAACTTTGTGTTCCGGGGATGGATTACAGTCTAGAAAAGGCACAAGTCATATGTATGCATTGACAGTTTTTGCGTTATTGCTGTCGTGCCGGAAGGAGACAAAAATTCCACCCAGCAGTATTAAATTTGCTTTAACATAAAGCCTCTCACAGTCTCCAGGTGCGGAAATGGGAGCGCTTGTGTGCCGTTTTCTGCTTCTGCTGCACAAACTACCAGAATACAAATTCCAAAGATCCAAGTTCTCGTTGACATTTAGCTGTGTTTGTGAGCAACAACGTGCAAAGCTGCCCAGAGTACAGTGTGTCAAGGTTACAGCAGCTCGGAGTACGATGGCGCCTATAGTGGAAAAACCGTGGAAGAGAAGATCGGCTTGCAGAGGAAGGATTACAGTCTAAAAAAGAAACAACTGGTGGCAAGACATATGCTATAACCATGCATCAGCAGTGTTGGTGTAATTACTCGTACTGCCAAAACGTGTTGACAAACGTTCCACATTGCAGCTTTACATTAAAGAAGAAAACTATATTGTATTATTGTTTAAATGGTGCACATATGTAAAGGATGAGAACTCAAGAACACAACATTACGATCACAAGGTAGTCCCAACCTGAAACATACTCTGCTTTAACATCTATTTTCCTCTAAATGGCACCATAATTTACTAAATCAACAGCATACTGTACTCAAATAATCTACAAACTAGTGACTGAGTCCATAAACTCACGAGGAAAGTGTTTACTGAGGTAACAAATCAAGTGAGAAATAGTCCTTTTCTCATACACTTCTATACAATCAGCTTCTTTTTGCCAACCTAAGGAGTCGCCCCCTGCTGGCTGTTAAAAAGAGTGCAGTTTTAAGTCTGCAGTTTTTACTTCTGCGCCAAAGTATTTTGAGATAATCTGACAGATCTAAAGGATTTCCTTGAAGCAGGATCATCTTATGAACACATAAAGGAACAATGAATCCAACTCTATAATCACTAAGCTTGAAGACACATTATTTTTACAAAGTCGCCACAATATAATGAGCAAACACATATAAGTACAAAATGTAAACACTTTGGAATTTGGTGTGATGATAAAAAAAAAGCATATTCAAGAGCTGAAATAGTAATTACAGCACAGTCTTGTCAGTTGTAAAGGAAATCTCTTTCTTTGAAGAATATCAACTGTTAGAAACAATACATCAGATTTAGTGCTTACATTCAGTCTAAAGCCATTCAAGCTTACATTTCACTTTTTTTGTCACTATATTCATTCCATCACTTGCTGTCCCTTGTTGCATTCAGGACTGCCTTCATAGAACTAAAACCTCATCCATAATACCCGCATATGCATTAGTGGCATCAAGGCCAAAGCACACAATGTAGCTGCAGCTTTACCTCCATGTATGCATATAGAATACAGAACAGCTTCATGTAATAAATAACCTAAACTAAAACCCAGGATGAAATATTGTAAATTGGGGCCAATCCAAAGTCCATCCATCAGGTTTTCATTTCCAAAAACCTCCATGTAATCACAATATCCATCTGAGATGATTGTAAACAAACTGAGTGACACCAAAGATACGCTGATTTAACCGACATCTATACTTTTCACAAACATCTCTCAGTGTATTTCCATTTCCACCAGCGCTGCAGGTCAGTGACACAACAGAGGAATGGTTAAGGATTTATTTAATTTTTTATAAGACCACACCTGTTTTCTGTTTTTTTGTTGTAGCTCAAGGTCATAGGAGTGGTGGTTTGTCTGTAACTTATTTAGCAGGAGTGATGTTCAAGTTTCCTTCAGTCCCTAAATGTCACAGCTTATGTAATGCCCAGGCAGCAGCCACAAACTTGTTTTTTTTATTTTCTGCTCTGAGGGCATGATTAGTTCTGCTTTGCAAAGTAATAAATGTCTGTTTGTTTGTTTAGATGGATAAAAAAAAAAAGAATGCTAACCAGATAGACTGATTCACATTAAAAGTCCCGGTGATATAATTGTTATTTATGACATTTTCTACGTTTTTATGATGCAGATAATATGTTCTGGCGTCGAACACTGAAACAAGCTGCTTTGAAACAAAAGAAAATAAAGTTCAAAGTCTGCTTTTGAGAAAACTAAAATTTCAGGAGACTCGAAATTACTTCTTAAAAGTGGATGCAGGAGTAGAAGAGGTGTTTCCATAGCAACCCCTGGCAATATAACAGTGACCTCGAAGGGATTGATGGTGATTAAAGTGAAGACAATTCTGTGTGTTTCTTAATTTAAATGGGACTGATTTCTCTGCCTTGTAGTGTTTCAGTTTGGACCTAAACACCCCACACATGTGCACGCTTGCTTGTGTGGTGATTTTTGTGACGATGTTCATTAACTTAATTAATTTTCTAGCCCTTTACCCTCACCTTGGACATCACAGCGAAGCGTGCGACACCAGCGATGAATCTAATTCTAACCTTAACCCTTAAAATCAAGCTGTGACTCAAACAGCCCTTTGAATGGTCGTGGAAAATGTGAGGAAAGGACGACATTTCTTCACTCTGATGATCTAAAAGTCAAAAGTGGTTCTCACAGAGGTAGTTGTTCAAACACACTCGCTCAAGCACTTGTAAACAGGCTGAAAGGGAGAAAAATGCCTCTAAGGGAAACCTTGAAACTGCTGCTGATGAACAGATTGTTCAGCAGCGAGAAGCATCATCTTTTAAACATTCTGGCTCTCTCTGCCTTCTGCCTTCTGAAATGATTGAATTAAATATTTTGTGCACCGTTCAGCCTGTAGTCAAACATCAGTCAGCTAGGATCATTCAAATTACGTTTCACTTTTATTAGAGCAAATATGAAAATTCCAAAGCAAGATAAGTGTTTCACTCGATTTTATGGATCAACCAGTATAAAGTCATTTATTGTTCAAACTGCACCGTTTCATCGAAACTCTAAATACACTATGTGTCTCTGTCTGTGTTTATGCCAAAAGAAAAGTGTGGGAGTCTGTTTAACATTTCATTTTGATGCCTTTCAAACATCTTCATGGCCTTCGGTCCAGTGTGGCTGGAGTGGAAATTTCCACCTAGAGACCAGCCGCCTACACGTGAGCTCAGACCCACTACCTTGACAACATACACAGCGTTTGACTGCAGCGGTCGAGGAGGACCTCTGCTGTTCATAACACACCACTGCAA